GGAGGAGGAGGAGGAGGATTTTTTTTTCGTCCGCCGCTCAGCCCTTCCCTCCCTCCCTCCCCGGACAGGTAGCCCTGCTGGACCGCAACTCCGAGGCCGGGCAGGAGAGCAAGGCGGCCCTGGACGAGCAGTTTGAAGCGCAGCGGACGGTGTTCATCCAGTGCGACGTTACGGATCAGGAGCAGCTGAAAGGTAAGGAGGAAGCTGTCCGCGCCGCGCTCCGGCTCAACGTGCAGCAACCTGACAGAGCCTGGGCTGCTGCACCAATACGTGTGCAATTAAGGTTTCTGGAGGACAGCCTACTCCCAATCGCTTCTGACAGTGACTCAAAAAGGATTTGTTTCTGAACCTGCAGCTGTCAAATATTACTACCAGCATGCCTGTATTTCACCATGTTACTTGGCACATCGTAAAGAAAAGCCAAAGCAATCACTTCCATTGAGTGCTGTGTACGATATTTTTGCATGAAAGCCTCTGTAGAAGATAATTGTTATTTTATGAGCAATATATATGAACTTTAAAGCACGGACTTGCTTTTTATGAGGTTTCAGTACAGACTCCAAGCTGCATTCCCTCGTCACAGGAGTAATAAATTCTGCTCTGGGTTGCAGTGCTCTCTCCATACAGCACACTTTCAACCTGTGCTGCTGCAGCTGAAAGCAGAAGTGGCAAAAGACGGCACACTGCTTTATCACGGTGTTACACATGGGTTGATAACCTTTCGCACAAGTTTTGCAGATGCAGGGAACAGCAAGGAGCTTCCCTCATGTATGGTTTGCATTTATGTTTTCACTTAGTGAATAAATGATGTTCCCTACTGAGTTCTTAGAGCATCATATAATGTTGATGTACCCTTCACCATATTTCATAACAGGCACGTCACTTCATCAAAGTTTCATTATTAGAGATACATTCATAGGTAGTGACTCAGATTCAGATTTTGACATCACTTTTGTCAGTGTCCTTTCCCCACATTCATTTGTGCCACGCTAGATGTGAACATTTTCAGTTCTGCATTTATTCACCACACTTCACTGGCAACTTTCTCAACAGTGGTGACTGAGCATATCCATTCCTCTTTCACAAAAGAGTGCAGTTAGTTCAGAATTCGGCAATATTGTTCACTGCACCGAGCTAGCGTGATTATGCCTAACTCCAGAGCTTGACATTGTCTGTCTGTAAGAGATATGGTGGACTTTAAATTTGAGATATGCTGTAATCAGCAAACAAAGTTTTTATCAGCTAGGTTGATTATTGACTTTTTTTCCAAGCGAGAGGAGTAACCTAGGAGCAAGAAAAAGCATCCTAGGGGTAGGAATAGCACGTGCTGCAGCATGGATGTTACCTCAGTGTGCTTTCTCTTCCATGATTCCTCCCCCCTTTAGTGCCAGGCTAGTACAGGACCAACAGGGTGTGCACTGGGAACTGAAGTGAGCAGGATGGGGAGGTTTTGGAACCAAGTTAGTAAGAAAAGAGCCATCAGAGCAGGATCAGAATGGGCTCTTGCAAAGAGAGAGAGCAAAAACAGGCAGCTTGCAGGTTTCTTAGCATAAATTTGCAATCATGTCTTACAAGCTTTTGGGGTTTCTGGGGTATTTTTTTAGTGGTTTTGTTGGTTGGATTTTTTTTTTTTTTTACTGCTTTATTTTCCTATTTTTTCACTTGTAACTGCAAGCCACCACTTAATAAACTTAGATTAATTTCACTCCTAGTGTTTAAAGTTCTTAGTGGATACGTCAAGTCCTGTACTTGCTTTTTATGTTAAAGGTGATGTGCGTGAATGAAGTTTCTCTTAGTTTAACTTTAGCCCTTTCAGTATGAAACAAGTCACAGTACTATAACTAGTGTCTAGGTACATAAGGTTTATCGGCAGGAAATCAGCTGCTTCATCTACTTTCAAGTCTTGCCTGTGCTTTTTTCTCTGGTGGCTCTTTCACATAGTCCCCCACAAAAATCTTCTATCTTGTCCCACTTTTGAAAAATCACCATACATTTACTTTTGCTTTCCATGAATATTTATGAAGCTCACATATAACTGGTGTTTGTACTTACTTTCTACTGTTTTTCTTACCTCTTCTTTAAAATGGATCCTCCCTCTTCATTTTTCATTTCTCTTCATTCAATATTTCATAGGATCATCTGCTATTAATTTGTATGATTCCATAAGCGCTAAGTAGCGTGCAATGTAAACACAGAATTATTCTACATTCGAAAAGGGAAGAACAAGTCAATTTACACTGATGTGATAACTTTATTAAGAATTTATAATGAGATTCTTCTTTTTGTGGATAGGTAATAGATGGGGCTACTGTAGGCAGGTAAACTTTTACCAGAAATATTCCAAATTTGGTAATCATTCTTTATTTTAACGTAGATATGCAAACAGCTGAAAAGCATTTGGCTCTTTTCTCAATGTGTATACTAGAAAAAACTGCGTTTAGTCAAGACTGTGTGAATTTAATAAACAAATAATTGGCAAAAGCACTATTACTCATGGTGCTTTTTGAAGGCAATAGATTCTATTAAGAATGAGGTTGATGAAAGATGCTATTTAGAGAAGGCTTCACAGGGAATCAGAGAGCCAGTTTCCAAAATTTGGAAGCTAATTGAGGACCCAAATTGTATTTATTTTACTCATCGAAACTAAATTAAATAATCAGTTCTGCTCCTAATAAAGTCAAAGGTTTTCATTTGCCCTTGCTGATGCAGGATTAGAAAGATGAGAAGCGATTAAAGAGTTAAGTTGAGAAACCAGAGAATGAATTAGCAACAAACATAACAAAAGCCAAAAAGGCAGACAGCCAAAAATAGAGGCTTTAGTAATATTAAGATATTCTAGTACAGAATAAGAATATTAGAAAAATCTGTACAATAAAGGCAGTTGGACACATAAAACCTTTCCCATCAGCTGCCCAGCTCTTGGTCTGATGACAAGATGATGACTGTGATGGACCTGCAGCATTCAGGCAAAGAAAAGCCTGTAACAGTAAAGACCATGTGGTGCAAGAAAAAAAAACAAAACCAAAAAAAACAAAACAACTTCGTAAACCCCTGCAACTGCTGCAAAAAAGGTAGATGTCTCAAAGCTGCTGCTATGCTCCTGATTGACTAATAGCCAAAGACTAAAGATCAGAGAATTAAGATGGTCACCTTTTAGTGAAGTGGTTTCTTTAAGGCCTGTCAAGCATAATTTTAGTATACCTGAAATACTCTAAATTTTTAGTCAGTCACCAAACAATGTTTTTTAAAGCAATATTGGGGGGGTAGTATCTTGGTTTACATAATAATAAATATTTAGTGATGAGGAACAATATTTGGAGGGGAAAAAAACCCAAGCTATACATACATGTCAGATAATGTCTGCAGTCATGGAAAATCTTAGTCTGGAATGAACATCTGGAGGTCATCTCATCCAACTATCCTGTGAAAGCAGAGCCAGCTTAGATGAGTTTGCTTATCACTATGACATCATCATGTTTTTCCATACACATCTTTTATCTTAGTTCAACCCTGTCACCTGGGAGAACACAATGTCATTGTGGAAGTTTCCCAGTTCTTTATTTTGAAATTCTTTGGAAGACAGGTCACTATTTTCATCAACAGTAGGATGTATAACAATTTATTCATAAATGGATAAATTTAAACAAGAATTATGACAAGTTATTTGTAGTCGAAAGATTCATATTAGTTATATCACTGAATAAGAATTGCATTCTCAGGTTAAATTTAGACTCAATAAAGAAAATTGTTCCAAACACGAAGCTTTTATTTTTTCATTTAAAATAGGTGGTGCCAGATCTTGAATTCACTAGCAATATCAAACTGTTACAAGTCAAGCTATAAATGCTCAATTTATATAATTAGGGTGCCAAACATCCTATCTAATACAAAATGTATGGGTGCTAAGAACTTTCATTAGCTCCTGTTATCAGGCATTATAAAACCGAATGAAAAGGCAACTATGGCATCTTAATCCTTTCAGTTTTCCTGAATATGTTTAATATTGATGAATGGTTAGATAAAGAAGTTGATTTCATGTTGCTCATTAGTGGTTAAGAAAACAGTGAAGACATTTTGGTAGACTAATAAAACATTAATTTCTATACATGCATTGTATTTTTACATCTTACTTTCCGTAAGTGCTAAGAAATTTCACCCTTGGATCTTACTATAGGTGCTTTCAAAAAAGTAATTGAACATTTTGGAAGGCTGGATATTGTGGTTAATAATGCTGGTGTGAACAATGAGAAGGACTGGGAAAGCACTATACAAATTAACTTGGTAAGCATTATCTCCTTTCACGTGTTCATACTTTATTTAATGTTCGAATACGCTTAACAGCCCTTGACTTCTACAGATTGTGTCAAAATACAGAACATGAGTTGTCGGATTGGTAAACACATCTATTGAAACAATAACCACATAATTGCATAGGTACTAACCAAAAAAATGTCTGTGTGGTGGGTCCTTTAAGTTGTCTATCCAAGATGTACAGCACTGTGTAGAGGTACTCAGGCTGACACCGGACAAAATTCTCTTTCTATAAAACCCAATGAAATCTCAGGTAGGTGTAACAATTTGGTGCCCAAAGCAGTAGAGCTGCATCTGCAGAAGGCCAGTCTGTTTATATGAATGTTTTAGAACATTTTAGTTACTTGTGAGACTCAGCTGGTGTGCATTAGAGAATAAGTTGCCATTTGTTGGTATTACAAGAAAACTTGTTCCACCAAGAGGTCCACATTTTCTTCACCAATAAAGCAAGCATACAATCTGAGCTTTTAATGTAGGCCATTTCACCATCATCACTGATAGAAGCACACCACTTAAAAGGACTTGCTAAAACCCAGTATGATCAAGGAGCCTGTAAAATTTATTTTCAAACAGACTATTACAAGGTCTTTGATATTATCTGGTATCTCATCAAGCGAGACCACAATATCTGTTTCTCAGTTGATTTTTTTTTTATTTTAATTTAGATTACACTGCTAGGAGATCTAAGCTCTAAAGGAAAGACCAACCTTCTAGATTAATAAAAGTCTGACCAGCTTGTATTCTACCAGCTGCAAAGTTCTAATTTGATGGTGATTCAGCAAGTCACCCCTATGACCATACTTACAAAGTGTTACAATCTAGATCTGCAAAGAAAGTGGCAAAAGGAAGCTTGGGAGAGTGCAATGTGTAGTTTTCTGCAATCGGTCAGTTGGAATTTGTCAATGCAACAAGAAAGCTCACAATAAGAAAATTAAAAGTTTGTTTTTGTCAAAAGTTTTAAAGGCCAAAGGTATCTGAGTCTTTGAATCCTAATGCCTCCATGAAAACAAACTAACAAAAAAAACGCACCAGGACAAATAACACATGCTGTATATGAGACAAGTTATAGAAAAATTAATGGGAAAATATGTATCAAAAAAAAGTTAGATTTAATAATAGTTTTTCTTGATGTTTTATATCTGTCCAAGGTCAAATTTGCTTATTCTTGGAAGGGACTGAACTGAGACCACAGATTAAAATTTCCACAATAAGAGAAATACATTTGTTCAATTTCCTTTGCCTTTTCTTTATATTTTCTTTAAGATCTAACTACACATATTTCTTTCTCCCTCTTTCATTTCTAAAATATTCTGACAAATTAAACATCTGGAAACTTCATATTGTGAAGCAACAGGAGTGTGACATCCTCAGTTTTATGCAACATCAATATCTCTTAGTACAGATACCTTGAATTTGAAAGACGACTTTACCTGTGTTCTAGATGACTGATTTCTCTTTATTTTTGTGCCTGGTTTAACACAGGATATAAGTTACTGTAGGCAGCCATCCACCTGTCAAATTTGCAAGCACAGATAGTTAGTCATCACCAGAAAAATTAAAGTCCATGTGAGAAACAGATTTATTTGTGATTCACCTTTAAATTCAGCTCAAAAAATGAAGGCATTTCTGATCAGCAAATCTTGAAGATATTTAATGGCCAGGTAAATATCCTAACTTAGAGTGATGTCCAAACAATTTTCCAATGCCAAGAGCTTCAAACAGAAGGCACTGAGAACCTCCTTCTACTATTCTTTTTGTCTTATCACCAGTGATTGGGCTGAAGCAGACCATAGGTGGGTTTGAACTACCTCAAATAGCAGGAAAAACTGGAATCCAAGTCTTAAAAATCTATACGCTTAACTATGAAGCTACTGCCCCTAAAAATTAAGAAAAAGGAGGACTATATAGTTTATACATTATTGTATAGGTAAGTTCACCATAAATGTCTTCATGACTTAATTCATAATTGAAAGTTGAAAAATTTCATCAATACATGCTGGTGACTGGAATAAGAACATCTAAAATGACCAAGCAGAGTAGAAGTACAGCTATATGGGTTAAATCAAGGACACTCTAAGATCCAAATATCCTCATTTATCTTTTGATTTGAATGTTCTTTCCCTGTCCAACCTTGAGTCAACTAACTAGCTTATTTCCGTAGGGTATTTCTACCTAGTTACTGCAATTTCCATAAACCAAGATACAACATTTTGTACTTTTTGCTTTTTAATTCTAACAATGGAAGAATAACAGCTGCTGCATGTACTATGTTATATTGGTTGGTTCCATAAAATATTTTTTTGCTTCTTGTAGAGAAAGGAACAAAATATGTATGAAATACATGATTTTAAAATGTCTCTATTTCCCTGATGTCAGACATTTTACATATCCTTTGTATTACCCCTAAGAACAAGAATAACTTCTATGGAAACACATTTGGATACACATTATGCACATGTTTTCTACTTTAAAAAAAGGGGAAAAAAAAAAAAAACCAACCTACATGCCAGTCTTCATCTTAGTGATATCATTTATATATTGATACAACAAATATTCTCTGCCCCAGTTTAAAGTACAAAGTACATAAGTAGAGCAGTACAGAACAAGATAAATCAGAACAAACACATATGGGGTGTGTTCTTTATGGCTAAAACAGTTCACAGAACCAGCTGGTCTTCAGGAACATTTTTAAAGGAGTGTAAGGTAGTTCCCCGATAGTACTGCTTGAGAAAGCATGAAGAATAGAAATGAAGAAGCAGGTTCAAAAAGTGGGACTTAATTTAGAAGGAAAAAAGAGGGAATAAAATCCAATTCCTACTTGTATCTATTACAGTTCCCTGAGAGCAAGAAAAGACAGCTTGATAAACGTGGCGGGGGCGGGGCGGGGGGAGGAAGAGTATCAACCGCTAAAAAGAGATTTTTGTTGCAGTGCTTTCCACCATTTTGCTATATTTTCTGCTAAACAACATCCACCCTTTCATTACTTTATTAATATTTCTATTAATTTTTTTAGTTAAGTATTCATGTGTACAAGTTACTCCCAGGGAGATTCCAATTGGACACGAGAGGAAAATTTTTCACAATGGGAACAGTCAATTGTTGGAATAATCTCCCCAGGGAAGTGGTTGACTCCGCTACGCTGAACATGTTTAAGACTCAGCTGGACATGGTGCTGGGCCATGTCGTCTACACTGTGCAAATTCTTGCCTAGAAAGGTTGGACCAGATGATCCTTTAGGTCCCTTCCAACCTGGTATTCTATGATTCTATGATTCCAGCAATGCTATCCATTCCTCACCTCAAAACTCCAAAGCTGATAGCGTTGACTTGATTGATATCAGCTTGATCAATGGCAGCTTCAACTACTCATACCCATACAAATGTGCACTCTTGTCATTATGGTATATAAAAAAAGATCTTGGCAACCATACACAAATTCCATTTTAAATGGATATTACCAGTGTAGTTTCAACAGTCCATCATACACACACACCCCATGCACAGAATAGCACAAGGACATATGACACATACGTTGTTATCAAGAGTCCTACCTACAGTCCTCCAGCACGACAAGAACAGTGTTTCTTGTGTTCAACTTCATAAGAACTTATGCCTAAGGAATCCAGAAATTTTATAATCTGACTTCTTTTCTCTTCCTAAAGAAAAAAAAAGCACCCACATCTTTATGAGCCTTGAACATATATGTTAGTTAAACACAATTTAGTGTTCTAAGAAGCTTCCCTAATTTTGTCTTGTGTTGATGATGTAGGCTTTCTGGAACCACTGTAATTATAGTGGCTGCTATAATTACAGTATCTTTTCTCCTTACAAATGCACTTAGCACAATTTATACTAAGATAATCCCCAAATTTACTTGTAAGTTCCTTTTTTTATACTTGTATCAGAGGTTTCTGAAAACTGATGTAGGTTGCAGTATACAGTTAAATGTAGCAGCACTGGTATCACATATGTTCACATTTTAAATATTACCTGAATCAAAAGTATAGAAGCACTTTACAGAACATCTTGGTTATCTTATTATGTTCTTATTCCAAAATATTAATTATTTTGCAGGTATATTTAACTGATTCCCCAAATGAAATTAAATAGACTCATGAAAGAATTTGACAGCAAAATCACAATTATCTCCTGTTTATGTGATGATTATGCACATTTTAACACATTATTCTGGCAAAACTTTAAATTGCAGGCCATAACTTGGGCATGCCAAAAAAAACCAGTCATATGGGATCCAATTATTTAAGTGCGTTGCCCACATGTAAAATTCATTCAGGTACATGTCAGTCACATCCTTCATTACTAGGCAAAATGTGGCAGTACCCAACAATTCCAAGTTTTTACATTTTTCATGGGTTTGCATAATTTCCATAAATGACAAAGTTAACAAGTTTCTGTGAATTTAGAAAAGTCCTTTTCTAAAATGAAGCCTACCTAACTCAGGGTTTGTCCCTGCAAAATACTTAGATTGGTACTACAGAGAAGAGAATGCAACACTGTATATATATGCGTGGCTCTGTTCGACATAGCTCACTGTGAAATAAAAGTTCTAGCAACTAGCAAACCTTGCAAAATAAATTCATTTGCTCATCAGTAAGGAACTATTCCTCAAAAGGCCAATTAATGTTTTGGCAGGAACCAGAAAGGTAACTAGGCAAATTTCAGAAGTGATTAATTTTATTTACTTTTGGGACAAAGACTTCATGGTCATCATCACAAGGCTGTTCCATTGTGCAAGCCGTAAAAGGGATCCCTTGCGAGCATGCTGCAACCCTTCTGGTCCATACCCCTTGCTCTCCTTTCCCAGTGTACCAGCAGAAATGACAAGGACTGAACTTTCATCCCAAAATAATGTGGCCAGGACACATAGCTGGATTCAGCAGGTGGGAATTACCACCAGGTCCCGTAGTACAGATGGAGGCAAGCACTGTTTCTTACTGCTACCAACATAGA